ATGTTTACGCCTAAGTTTAACGGCGTGAAAATATATAGCCTAAAGCGTGACGTAAGTGTAGGACTTTTTATTAAAAAAAGAATTACTCGAAAACATGCTGTGATTGCTGACATCTTAGGCAACAAAGAAGTGTGTGTTTACGCTTTATTATATTAGTATAGATCTAATGTTCTTATGAAAAATATTAAATTTCTATGTATCAAATAACTAACACGAAGCGTAAGTTAAGACTTCTAGGTGTCAATTGTAGGAATAATTTATTTTAGCAGTTCTATAATTTAGTGGATTTCTCCTAAATTTATACTTTGCAGGAAAAAAAACATGGCGTCAAAATTACTAAATGAATTATGTTTGTAATCACATTGGTGTTATTCTGAAGATTTTAAGTAATCATCAAACAAAACAAGGCACAAAAGTGTTTATTATTCTTATTCGGCGTAATCGGCTTCAAGTGTAATTAGCGTGAAATCTTAAACTTTTCCCCTTGTTTTGTCATGTTTGTTTTGTGTAAAGCTGACGAAGAATTCTCAGAAGTTCAAAGGTGGTATTCTGAATGATAAAGAAATTTCTAAGCGATATTTTTTAAACACAAAACCGTACTAACTATATACTCGTACATATTTTTTTATTTACACAACAATATTTTGCCATTCACAGTATAGTTATTAGATAATTATTTCAAATTTTGTTAGTTTTTGTATATACGTTTAAATATGTTAAATATTGTATATTGTCATAAGGGAAATAAAGCTATCTTTATCTTTTTTATTGTAAATCATACTTCATACTAATGTTATAAATGTGAAAGTGTAGTTGGATGGATGGATGTTTGTTACAGTTTGTAGCCTAAACGGCTGAACGGATTTCGATGAAATTTTGTATAGATGTAGAGGATAGTCTGAAAGAACACATATGCTACTCACTTTTGTTTTTTTAAATTCCACGCGGATGGAGTCGCGGGCGAAAACTAGTCTCATATATTCTTCAAAATTTCATCTAGCTACGGACGTTCCGTTTTCACTTGAGGCGTTGAAATTAAGATTTGAATACGCCAATCAGAGGCCAGCAAATTAAGAAGTTTCAACAGATTTTAACCACTCGTGCACCTGTGTTTACGTGTGTGAGTCATGTGTATAAATGTTATGTGTAACTTTGTGTTCTTAAAAATATTTAGTCTTAGTCTGTAGCTGACTTTACAAATGCATTGAAATTTTAAAACTTCAATTGTTTTTTTTAATATAAATTGATATTACCTGATTCAGTTTATTTTGATGCGATAAAACAAATCGAAAAGATATCTTCCCGATGAGGTATTTGCTTTGTCAGCGAGCGCTTTGTTGGCGACCATTGAGAGCGCAATCCATTACGACTGGACAAATGACGTGGAAAGTTGACTTGTACATTTGTAAGTCTTTTGTAAGAAGGGGGATTTGTATTACGTTTGTTTATATTCTTATTTGCGACAAACAAAGTGATATTTTGTTCTTTATCTATGTTGTTAAAAGCATTCTTATCGTCGAAAATCAAAAATAAGTAAGACGTCTTCTTAAAAAGACATTCTTATTCTGGATTTGTTATAAAAATAACCCAAATGTAAAAGTTTGCTTTGGATGAATGTTCGCTATGTATAGATCGGTTGAAGGGATCTGGGTGAAAATTTGGTTTCAATTTAGAAGACGTAGGCTACTTAGTATTTTTTAATTCCGTGCAGACGGAGTTACGGGCCAAATGTAGTGTAATTATAAAACAAAGAACATATCTTACGCGATATAAACTAATATTACCAAATAATTTTACAGTGAAGTAAATATCTTTGGGGGTTTCCAGAATTTTGAGGTTAAGTTGTGCTCGTTTTGCCGTACATAACTTACTAAGTATGGAAAGTAATTAAGTAGACAGTTAGCCGGTACACAATTGGATGAGGCAAGTTAGCGGCTATCAGATAGTTTTGTTTGTTCGCAGTTGTTTGCCGACTACAAACATTCTTCACCGGATATTACCCGTTGGCCGGATGTGTAGGGACTCTGTTAGATCTGCCTTTATTACCAGACTGGATTATCAATCTTGTTGTTTGCGTCCCTTTAGTTCATTTTGCTAACTTTTGCTTTGCTTTGGCTTCTTTGTTAAGTATCATAAAGGAAACACAAATGTTATGTAAAATTAGATGGAATATTATAAAGTGATTAAAAAATGGATTGACAAGAATAACAAACGCCAGTAACAACATATGTACATATATGGTAACACATCTACAATTGCGGGTGTCTATGGGTAACAAACGCTTTTTGAGCGAATTTTGGCAAGAGCTTGCCTGTTTGCCACCTTATGATATAAATAAAAATAATGTTACAAAATGAAATTTGTTGTACAAATAACTAACTAAAGATAAAATTCGCTATAGATGTAGAGGATCGTCTGGACGAACTCATTTTGGTTTCTTTTCTAATTCCACTAAACGAAGTCGCGGGCGAAAGCTGTGATAGTGTTTGTACAGTTAACATTTGTATTTTTTAATTTTCTTTTTGAATGCTCCTTTACAATCGATGCGACAGTCATATACTCATACAGTCTATAAAGTGTCACTTGGTATTTAACGTAACCATTAAAGTGACAACAATCCGACACTATAATAGTTAGCTTCAGCTCTGGTTGAGCAGACGTCGGTCCCGTCGCCGGCTATATTTCCTCTGAGACACCTGCGAAGCCGGAATAATAAAGAGCCTTACAACGTCTCAAAATGGCACTTTTTCTCGCAATTCAACCGCAATGTGCACTTAAGGGATTTGAATAACTTATACGTCGGATTTTATCTATTCCACGCAACTCCCAAAACGTACCCGAACCGAATTTCACCACGAAGTCTTAACATTATTCACACGACTTACGACTGTGTTTTTTTAATTAGAATTAATAGCAATTATAATTAGTATGTCCTATAAATTGACATAATTAGGCATCACGTCGTATCGAAATTTTAACAGCAGTACCCGTTTTTCGATGGTTAAACAATCCCTTCACATCTCATACCAAACCTAAATTAAGTCTACTTTATTAAAACGGGTACGTCTCTAACAGACGAATATTGAAACGCCATTTTAGATTGTAACATGGTCTTAGACGACAAGGCCATGGTGAAACTTCAATTTTTTTACAAATGTTGACGACAATCAGAATGCAAGCAACGCTTACGAAGCTTTGTACTTCTTTTCAATATTTGGTTGTAAGTTAGAGAAAAATACAAACGTTTATATGACATAAACACGATCCTGTTAACCCTTAGTCTAAAATCCGTGTAACATCTCACAAACTCGGAGACGCCATCCATCTTGGCGAAAGTCCAAAAGTCAATTACCGAAAACCGACTTTTAGATAACTTGAACAATTATTTTCGTATATTCTAGGCACACCTAACGAGTGTTCCGAGGATTTTAACGACCTGACATAGTTCGGCAATTATGCATCGTTTAGGCTATCCTGTTAGTCTTGAGAGATAAATCTCTTGACTGATACTTGGCAACTAAGAGCTTTACACACCAGAAATTAAACTATCGCAAAACTGTTTAGCCTCTCTTTGATTCCTATGAGATTATTTGTAGGTGCGTACATTACTCGATTTTTAGTTGTGCAACTAAACAGTTGAAATGGCTGCAAAACAAACGACAATCGCATAACAGTCTATCGTACTGTTTAGTCACAGAGCGCCTGGTCTAACTATCAACACCGGTCTCATCTTGTTTTTTTTTTAATAAGAAGTGGGTAATAACATCATTGATTTTAATGAAAGACAGTACACAATAATTACAGCAACTAATTAATTGCAAACATTTAATTCTTCTGTTATTTTTTTGTTTAATAACCAAAACCGAATCATTGACGACTGAAAATGTTGTATGAATATGTGTAAATGTCAATCAGAGCTAAAGATAAAATGACTCTGATTCTGAGTGTAGTTAGGTGTTAATAATGAAAGTTAATATTGTTTTAGTAATTCAGTGAGCATAATAAGGGATGTATCGACCCGCTAGGGGCCGCAACAGCCAGATTTACTGGCGACGCCGCGTGTCGCTAATGTCTACAAGTCTTACCTAACTCCGCTAACTTAGAGTAACCATAACTGTAATAAATCCGAGGATAAAGTTGTTAACGTAATCTGTACACTGTCAACATGTCTCGACTTTCAGTGGCATGTAGTAGAGCGTGCGCACATTTGACTAAACTATCGCAAAACTGTTTAGTCGGACGTAATTCCTATGTGCTTATATGGTGCACACTACTCGATTTTTAGTAGTGCATCTAAATTGTTCTATGGGCTGTGTAATAATCGACAAATGGGCACCAGTAGTACGATAGTTTAGTCGAAAGTGTGCGCACGCTCTAAGGCTAAGTACACACTAAAACGCCAGGAGACAATTAAATTTTCATTGTTTATGAACTTGTATAGTGTATATATACTATGCCAAATGTGTGAAAATTTAGACAATGCTCAAAAAGTAATTTAAACACAGCTTATAAGTTATCCTTAACAACGTAATAAAAGGTTTAATGATACTATGTTTTTATTTCATTTTTACGTTTATTTAATTAAAGCAACACTAGAAATTTGATCCTTAAAAATAAATTTTAGTATAAAATCTCGTTGGTTATACCCGAGACTTAGACTACATGTCGTAGACTTCGTAATACAAAAATAAACTTAAATTACTTCTAAATAAAGGTGGTATTTCATTTTTACTTATCACTATGTTGTTTATATTATAATTGTTGCCGATAATATGTTTGTCGTTTGTATTGATATTAAAAATAATTTTTTATTATGCAAAAAAAAGATTTGCATACATGTCATTATTAACTTTTTTGTCATAGTAAAACATATTTTTGATTGCTTACATCTAACTAGAAATATAAAACTTCGGGTCTGTCACACCAATGGTTGATAGATGCTCAGATAGCTTATAAATGACGTCATTGTCAGATAAGGTAACAAAATCCGATATTTCCAGCACATATTTAACACGTTGGATTGTTAGACAACTTAAAATTTGTTGGGACAGGCCCTCAATCTATTTAAATTATATGCTTAAACATTTAATTTTTGTATACGATAGCCTCGTCTTCTTCTTTTTTCACCGCTTGTATCAAGACTAAAGACATAACTGCATTCACCACCTGAAAATGAAAATACGTAATTCATGTATTAATAAATATGCTAAAAAGACTACAACATAAGTCCCAATTTTAATTTTGGAACGAAAAGTTTAGATTATCTGTAAAATAGTGTAAAATATGATTGTATTTAACGAATCAGAGCGCGCACACCTCAAACTAAATCATCAATCGAAACAATCGGGAATCGCACAACACTTGTGCGATAATTTAGTCAAAGGTGTGCACCCGCTCTGAAATAAAAGACTTTGTAAATGCTATTTTTGCTACATTTACGTTTTAACAACAAAAATGTAATAAAACCACAGGGTCGTATGTACTTACACATATCATGCACGAAGCAAGAACAATGCCAGCCAACCAGCCAGTCTTGCCCTCTAAGTACCAAGTGAGCTCATCCACACAGCCATGGAAGTAAGCGTTGCCGGTGACTGAGTCACGACACTCGGATGGCAAAGGTTTATTCAAGTTTAAAAAGTCCATCGGACCATCAGCACCGCAACAACCAATCTGTAATCGGTTAAAACAAATGAATCTCTTCAAGAGACAGCACACTGGAAACTTTGACAAATACGCGTAAGAACTTTAAACTATCGCACAACTGTTGTGCAATTGTGGATTATTTCGTAGCGAATTCATTTGTTTAGTTCCATAACTAAATGTCCAGTAGTGTGTGGACCTCCATTTAAGCTCATAGGAAACATATCGCGACTAAACAGTTGTGCGATAGTTTAGTCGAAGAAGAACGCACGCTAATAATTTCTTCTTCAGACAGATAAAGATAAAAAGGGACATATGTTTGTCGTTAATGTTTCAGTATAGGGAATTAGCATTTAAAGTACACATATCCAACTTTTTTTAATGATTTTTCAAATGTTGTGTCCATATCTAATACAGCATTGCAGTCTGTTTACATAATGGCAGTATGAATGTTCACAAAACTTTAAAGAGATATAAACAGTTCAAGTAAAGATCTCATTTAAACTTACTCCTTCTTGCACCATCCTTAGTATTTCCCGGCTACCTTCATGTTGTGGGTTATTCATGAGTCTTAGTATGACATCTTTTATAAGAGGTTGAACACTAGAGTCGTAAGTTGAAAAGTCCAGGACCACGCAAGCGCCTATCAGACCGAAGACAAATAACGCGATTTGTGTTCCTATAAACTAAAATTATAATGTGATTAGAATTACAACCATAGTTTCCCTGAACAAGCATAATTTTAATGAAATGTTGTAATTTCATTAAAATGAAAACATTTCCATTAAAATATTAAATTGAAAAAATTAAATGTAATAAAGAGTTAACTTACTCCGTAGAGTAGGACGACGTTTTCCATAAGAGCGGAGCCGCAACCAAGGAATGCTACAACCATTATGCCTAACGAGGCAATAAGAATGATATAGATCCCAATGAAGTACTTCTGAAGTTCCAAAATTCTCATCCATTCGTTGAAACCGGGCTCGAAGCAGATCCATAGACACAATGCGAATATAGACACGCCGAATAACTGAAAAATGAAAACAATAATTTTAGTTAAATTGAGGTTAACACCAGCGTATCTGTTTTATATTAACTGGTAGAGTAACTATTACCTTTAAAATTATTATTTAAATATTATTAATATGAATATAAGGCTTTCTTATTTACTATTAAAATAATGAGTGACACAAATTATACCTAAGTCCTCTATGAAAGTTAATGTCTCGGTTCAAATGATATAAAATAGGAAATAATTAAACGGACACTATTTTCATGACGTCATAGTTAAAAACGATACGTCAGTTTTAAATTGTAATGCGATGAATCATTGAATAACATTATGTTGACACTAGTTATGAGTATGAGAATGTTAGTATGTCCATAATTCTCAATTTTATCAGATTGCGTTTCAATTTTTAAAAACGTATTTATGATATAAAAGTAGAAAACTGGTTTTAATGTTTTCAACGGCTTTGCTATTTACTAGAAATAATGGAAACATGATTGAAATCCTATTTACTTAGAAAATAATGTACATATCGTTGATTGATCTCGACCTTTTTATTACAACAAGTACGTATTGTTTATAAAGAAACTGTTTACTTCTATAATAAATATGACCAATTTCTAAGAAAAAGAAAGCTCTATAAATCAAATAGGATAGAAAGGGATAGCTATCTCTTCTCGCTTTTTATAAATAATGTCCTTCGTCGAATGTCGTCTGCAGATTAAAACATTTATAGCCTAAACTAAAAATAATACCAGCCTGTTTGTCTTGGCTTTAATCCAAAAGTTAATTATCACAAATCCTACGGACTTCAGACTACGGAGTCAATTATTTTTCATCCTTGTACGACTAAATCTAGTGCTAGCATATTCTTCAATATGTTTCTATTCTTTTCAATTAAAAGTAATTCAGTAATATTTGCCTTTATTCTTTACTCGTACTGAAATATTCGAAATTGAAAGTAAGATTAGAAATTAAAATGACACATACTTAAAAGCAAATTTTAAAAGAAAATTGTAACTTTTTTTATAGTCTTTTAAAGACTATAAAAAAGGTAAAAAGTAAACAAGAGAATTTTAGAACGAGTCCTCATAGTCTATACTAATATTATAAAGAGGAAAGATTTGTATTTTTGTATGTATTGAAATAACTCAAAAACTACTCGGCCGATTTCAAAAATTCTGTCACCATTAGAAAGCTACATTATCGCTGATTAACATAGGCTATATTATTAAAATTCACGTAGATAAAGTCGCGGGAAACAGCTAGTATTAAATAAATAAAAAATCTGATAAAGTAAATCAATGTTAACGAACGAAATTCTAAAATTGTTTTCCAATTCCAAGCTTTAATTTGTATTAACATTCTTAATTAAGCAAGCTTAATAACTGTTGCTTTGCGCAAATTGCAAGCAACAACCAAGTGCTTGATTTACCGCACACACCACGTGTGGCTAATGAATGCTACTCTGCTAAGTACCTTATAACAACAGTCTGGGTTTTAAACAAAGTTTTTAGAGAAAAATGGAATTTTACACGTTACATATCTCAAAGGAAATAGTAGGAATCTAGATCATCCATGTTAAATATTGAAGCATAATATTATAAATCATACTAATATTATAAATGCGAAAGTTTAAATAGATGGATGGATGTATGTTTGTTCGTTTGTAGCCTAAACGGCTGGACGGATTTCGATTAAATTTGGTATGGATGTAGAGGATACTTTGGAAGAACACATACGCTACTTAGTTTTGTTTTTTTTTAATTCCACGCGGACGCAGTCGCGGGCGAAAACTAGTAACTGACCATAATCATCGAGAACAATTGATGTTGAAGTGCTAGTTTATTCATTCATAAATAAAGAACCGGAAATAATAGTTTGGAAAACAAGAGTCTTCAATGTAAATTCATTTCCATTCTATGAATCAGATTATGACAGTATTATACTCGGAAAACGGGCCAAGCTCTTATCAATTGTTGATAACGCGTTCTTAATAACTGCCCTTTATTTTTGTGTAAACGTAATACAAAATTGGTGCAAGGGAATTAGATTTTTTTTTGTTTAATTATCAACTCATATACCTTCTTCAACATAAAGTGTATATATGTATGTAAGTTGTTTTGACTTTGTAGTTGTGAACAATTACTTCTAACATGTGTCACTATTTATCTTAAATCTCATTTTAAACGCATACTAAGTGACCATGATTTTACAAGGAATGAGGACATTTGTGCACATGAGTTTAGACAGTAGACATTATACATCTTGGCTATTAAAAACATTGTGTAATGTGAATTTAGAAACTACGACCTTAATAACAACCTACCCATAGCACGACGTTGAAGCAGAACAAAGTATACTTGATGCAATAAATTTGCGATTCGAGTTTCCCCACGGCGGGTCCCT